CAGGCTAAGATACAGAAGCATTTCTATTGGCCTGGATTACATAAAGATGTGGTTGAATTTTGTCGTAATAAAACCAGCACCTTTGATGTCAATTCCCACGTTTGAATAACCTTTCACGCGAGTTATGATTGATTGTGTAGGTCCCCTCCCTAAACCAAAAGTGGAAACCAGTATTTGCTACCCATAATGGAATGTCAAAGCAAAAAGGGTTGTGGAGGAATTGCTTGCTTTCTTTACTCATTATGGATTACCCAGGGAGATTCAGTCAGACCAAGGGTCCAATTTTTCTGCCAAATTATTTAAGGAGGTCATGGATAATTGACGCACCAAACACTTTAAATCCAGTATGTACCATTCTGAATCCCAGGGAATATTGTAAAGGTGGCATCACCCCTTAAAGACAATGCTAAGGGCTTAGTGTCTAGATTACCCAAATGATTGGGATAAAGGTATCCCCTTTATATTGTTTGCTACTAGAGATGCTCCAAATTAATCAACTCCATTTACTCCATTTGAATTGATGTTTGGGCACAAAGTAAGAGAGCCTTTAAAAATAATTAAGGAAAAGTTGATAGGTCTGAAGTCAGAGATCTTACAATTGGATAATGCATCTGAGGTGAGAGGAAGATTAAACAAGAGTAGGTGAATTAGCTAGACAACATTTGAAGGTGGCACAGCACATAATGAAGCAAGAAGCAGATAAGAAATCTAAATTTCATATATTTGCCTGTGGGGATAAAGTATAGGTGCTGTTATCAGTGGTAGGGAGATCCCTTCAAAGCGAGGTTTCATGGTCCATATCAAATTGAGAAGAAGTTAAGTCAGGTGAATTATCTGGTAAAGATGCCAGATAGGAAAAAAAAAATTCAGGTATGTCATGCGAATATGCTGAAACATTACTATGACAGGGAAGGGGAACTGGAGAAACAGGTATTTAGTTACTGCCACTCAGAGTTAGGAATCAAATCGAGATGATGTGGATTTTGATGTGCCTCAGAATAAATTGCATAATGAGGAAGTCCTAAAGAACAGGATAAGGTAGTGAGCTATCTGTCCCAGGAACAGAGAACTGAACTGAATGACTTGTTAAAGTGCTATGAGGATATATGTGGAAATAGAACGGGGAGGACTAATACCATAGTACATGAGGTTGACGTAGGGAATGCTGTTCTGATAAGACAACACCCCTACAGGCTTAATCCTCTCGAACCAGCACAGGTACAGAAGGAAAGTGGAAATGATGCTCCAAGAAGACATCATAGAGCCAAGTCAAAGTGAGTGGAGTTTGTTGACCACGTTGGTTCTCAAACCTAATGGTACTCAATGATTTTGTGTGAATTATCAGAAGGTCAATACTGAAACAAAATCTGACTCATACCTAATTCCAAGGCTGGAGGATTGTGTAGAAAAAGTAGGACAAGCCACTTACATCACAAAGTTGGACTTACTCCATGGTTACTGGCAAGTACCTTTGTTGGAGAGAGCAAGAGAAGTTTCTGCTTTTGTAATCCTAAATGGGCAATATCAGTTTAAAGTCATGCCCTTTGGAATGAAGAACACACCAGCCACTTTTCAAAAACTTATGAACAAAGTTGTGGCAGGATTGACTAATTGTGCCATCTATTTGGATGACTTAGTGATCTTTATCCATTCGTGGAAAGATCACATGGAGCATTTGGCAGAACTCCGAGAGCCTACGGAAGGCAAAGTTGGTCATAAACTTGGCAAAAATAGAATTCGTGAAGGTGGAAGTGACGTTCTTAGGGCACAATATCGGACACGGATGGATGACACCGAGGAACATCACAAAGATATTCAAGGAATTTACAAGGCCATCCTTGAAGAAGGAAGTGCTATGGTTTTTAGGATTGAGCGGATTCTACAGGAAATTTCTACCAAATTTTAGTAATTGTGGTGCTGTTGAGAGATCTGTTAAAAAAAAAGCACGAAATTTTGGTGGATAGAACAATGACAGGGGCATTTGAGAATTTAAAAGCAGTTTTAACACCAGTTTTAGCCACGCCAAATTTTTTGAAACCTTTCAAAGTCACCATCGACGCAAGCGATGTAGGGTTTGGAGTTGTGTTGTTACAGAAGGACAATTATGGAATTGAAAGGTCAATCAGTTATTTATCGAAAAAAAAACTCAATATGTCCCAGAAAAAGAGTTATTGGGTTTGGTACTGGCCTTACAACATTTTAATGTCTATGTGCAAATAACACATCAGAGACGGTTGTGTATACCGATCACAATGCTTTGACATTTCTGGAAAGATTTAAGGACAAGAACACTCGATTATTTCATTGGAGTCTTACAAGCACTTAATTTACAGATTATAGATGTTGTGGATCGTGGAAATGTTATTGCGGTTGCTTCATCGCGAGTTTAAAAAGATAAATATTTATATAAGATAGAAATGGTAGCATTCAAATTGTATGTTTGTAGAATTAGTATAAGATGTGTAACTCTTGATTAATGAGGTATGGATCTAGCAATAATGGTGTTAAGGTTTAGAAAAGAAAAGTAGTGAAGCCATCTTTTCATAATGATGGGGTGGTGGGGAATGGGGGGGGGGGAAGAGAGGTGTTGCAAAGGTGGGTAGAGTACCTGTGGATTGGAAGGCAGGATGTTACAGTTTGGTGCTTGTAAAATGTTGGTATTTGTAAAATGCTATGGGGAAAGCAGTGCATGGTCCCTTTAAAAGATGATGTGTTTTCTATGCTTAAGAGATTCAAAAAGGATGTCTGTGGGTTTGCAAGTACACACAGCACCCGAATTGAAACATTTGTATCAAAAGGCTATACTGTTAGCAGGCAAAGCAGCATTTTTACCAAGACAACAGGTTTTCATATTTAGCTAATTAATTTAAATTAGGCCCTTAGATACCAATTTAAATCTAATGGTTTTGACAACATGGGACCAATCCTACTGTAAAAAATTGATAGGTCATCAAGGGTATAAAAGATGAGGGCACTTGGAAAATTGGGGGAGAGCCAACTGTCATCTGCCAAGAGAACAGCTCTCAGCTCTGAGAGAGAGAATTCTATGACAGCCAGTAATTCTTTAAGGTTTAGAGAAAGGTCCATCTAAATTAAAGGCACCTATGGCACAAATAGTTAATGTTCCTGACAAAAGAATTTGACGGAGAAGGCGTTCCTGACAGAAGGATTCAATCAGGAAGCATTCCTGACAGAAGAATTCAGAGGGGTAGACACAGAACATTCCAGAAGATGTAACCTTGCTGTAATTTTGAGTCACTAAATTCTAACTTCTTTTTATTTGATATAAGTGGATCTTGTACTTATTGGAAAAGCGTATCATTATAATCTTGTTTTATTCGGGAACAGTTGGTAGGTAGAAGGCTTTATTCATTTGTTAGTAGTTTCATTAGTTTGTTCACTGTTAGAGTTAGCTAAATAAATATTACTTGTTGATTATAAAGAGAGCGTCAGGTTTTCTTTTAACCACACCTTTATAACAGATTGGAGGGCCTTTTAACAGATTATAGGGTGGGACGAGCCTCTCTGGGTGTTTGGGTTTTAGTTATCAGAGGGGTTTGAACCCTGCTTTACAACATGACTCAAAAGCTTACCCATAAACTTGACTTCATTTTTCCCAGAGCTGCAACTGTTGAATCAAATTGAATAAAGCAGCCTAAGACTCTGTAGTATACCTCATTTCCCAGGATGCCCAAGCACCAATGCACGGCAGAGATGGAAAACCTTGCCTCAACTTCTAACGGTCTTTGTTCAGTTGAAGATAAGAACTAAAGGACAAGTTTCAAAAACTTTATCCTTATATAACATATTCTGGGGAAAACATGCACATTGAATGAAGACGTGAGAACTCAAAACTAACAGCAAGAAAATGGCTCAGAGTGTGAGGGTGGTACCATTTCCACATGGAAATACAGAAACTAGGAGCAGGAGTAGGCCATACTGCCCTTCGAGCCTGTTCCACCATTCCATGTGATCCTGGCCTACCCCTATCTCTACATCATATTCCCACTTGATTCATAGGCAAATGATGCATTCAAAATCTAAAAATATATCCATCTCTTTGTTGGATTTATTCAGTGACTTAGCATCCACAGCTTTCTGTGGTAGAGAATTCCATAGGTTCACCACCCTTTGAATGATTATTTTTCCTCATCCCTGTCCTACCCTGTATCCTGAGATTGTGTCTCCTGGTTCTAGACTTGGCAACTACGTAAAACATCGTCCCTGCATCTAGTCTGACCAACCCTGTTAGAATTTCATACATTTCAATTAGATCCCTTATCACCTTTCTGAATTCTAGTGAATACAGGCCAATAACAATTGTAGAGGAGCTCTATAACATAACCCGGTCAATATTTACCCCACAGTCAGCATTAAAAAAAGATAGATTTCTTGATTATCATTACATTACCATTGATGAGTGTATGCTGTGTTTGAACCGGTTGTTACGTATTCTGTATTTTAATGGCAACTACATTTCAAAAGTAATTAATAGGCTGCAAAATGCTATGAGACATCTTGTGGTCATGAAAGGTGCTATACAAATGCAATTTTTTTCTCTGACGCCATATCAGATCATATTGGTTTTGTTTTACACACAAAAAAAAATTTTTACTCCTTTCAAGTAAAGCTACAGGAAACCAATTAGCAAGCATAATATATTCCCAGTGATAAATTCCACATTGAAATGCATACCCCAAATAGTTCTTTAAGAGAGATTTGTGCAGCGCTGTATTCGTTACCAGGCATCAACTTCCAATCACACAAGACAAGGTAAAGAGCCTAGGAAGGAAAAGTATAAAAAAAATGAAGTCAGTGCACTTATCAGTTCCCAATAAACTAGATTAAATTACTTGCTGCATTGCTTAGTATAACCATGGAAATATGTTTCTATTCATTCCTTTCATGAGCAAAGTGTGTCCTTTGTCTTCACCAGTGGAGGAAGGGGAGAGAAGGTATAGTCTACCCTTCAAGCACTTTTATCATTAATCATTAATACATTACCATTAGAATATCAATCACACATTTACAATCAAGGTTATAGAAACCACATTTATGCAACCAGTCCTCATAATTCAATGTTTAAACTGCATTGAGAATATAGAACCTACTTCAAGAAAAAGGAAAATGCCACGAGGAAGTTGCAGAAATTAATTGCTGAGACAATAGCACATGGACTGCAGCAGTTCAAGAAGGTGGCTCACCATCACCTTCTCAAGAACAGCTAGGGATTGATAATAAATGCTGACCCAGCCACCGGCACCCATGTACGAGTAAAAGAAACCTGGCAGGGTTGAGGGGCTTTACTTACGAAGAGACATTGGGTTTCTGTACATTAAAACAGAGACCTAAAAGGAGATCTAATAGAAGTGTTTAAAATTATTGAAGGTTTTAATAAATTAAAATGGGAAAGCTATTTTCGCTACTCGGTAATTAGAGGCTACAAATGTAATCCTTGATAAAAAGGATGAAGGGGAAAGTTTCTTTTTCTAGTACAGGATATTTGTCAGGATATGTATTGCCTTAGCAGAAACAGTAGTAGGAAGTAGATTACAGGATTGAGGACAAGAAGTATTTGGAAAAAAGAACTTTAACAGATCCAAGGAAATGGCAGCATAAGGAACTGATTATAATATTAACCTGGTCTGCCAGGTTGACATTTTACTGATTGGACTATTGGACTAAGCTAGGCCTTGCAGGTATGATCAATGTTAATAAGCAATTTAATCAAAGTTCTGTCATTGCATAACAGTTTTCAGAAAACTTTATCATTTTCCAACAACATAGAAAACTAATTCCGCATATTATCCTTCTTAATTGCATCCACCTGAAACGGTTTCTCTGCTTCCCTCTCCACAATGCTGCCAGATCTGCTGAGTATGTCCAACATCTTCAATTATACGGCTAAGATCACAAAGTAAAGGGGCTATACCAGTATCTTTAGTGCAACAGAAAAAGAACTGGGCAAGTAAAGAAAATTAAAATAATTGACTAGATACAAGTCAGTTGAATTCCCCTCACAGTTTTAACTTTGGTATAATCATGAAATGCAAAAATGTGTGGACTGTCAAGTAGAGAGTGAGAGAAATGCATAAGCATTGACAATTTGTGAGTGTTGGATTCTTAAAAATGTAAGTTCATGAGCTTGTAATTGTAATATGTTTCTATCTCCAAAAGGTCGGATGCAGTTGCTAGGTATGACCATTAAAGTGTCTGATCAAGAACACAGGACTTAAGAGCAGGCATTGGCCATTTGAACCCAGTTTACCATTTGATAATTTCAAATTTCAGGTTGTAGTCTCAACTTCACTTGCTTGTTTTTCTGCTGTAGATCTCAACTCCCTTGTCTATCAAAAACCTATCTGACTCAAATCTTAACTGTTGCATACACTGTGTCAATGAATATCCGATCCACCTGACTTCAAATGTTCAACAGCTTCATTGAAAATCTTATGCTGACAGGAATTAGATTGATTGGAAAGCTCTTACAAAGTAGCGACATTGGTATGAAGGCTGAATGACTTTCTTCTGTGCTATAAATGCCACCATTTGCTTTCCACAAATATTAAAGGTGTTTTAATTCAGACAAGTTTCAATTTTAATCAGCGTTACTTTAAGTGACTGCTTACCTTCCATAAATTTTTTCTTGCAGCTTTTTCAATAACAATTTGCCAAATTGTGGAATTGTAGCCTTTCCATTTTAAGACTTCAAGGAAGTTGCTGTCGGTCCCTGTGAAAGTATGGTTAACAGTTAAAATAATGATCTAAAATTCACAAATCCTAAATGTGTCATTAATGTACGCTGTCATGCAAGCATAAGTGGTTTTATTTGTATTAGGTAGTGCTTACTGGTGATAATACAATGCTGCCACCTTAGCAAGTCACTGTACAATAGACTTGAAAGCAAAACCAATTGAAATCACAACAAAAGAAAATAGCTAATAGTGATTCATTTCAGCAAAAGTTGCAACAAGTAATTCAACAACTAGATTTGCTGGGGTTGAGGGGATATAGGGAGTGAAATCTATGTTTGATAACCCTTATTCCACATTGAGAAAGGCATCGAGATACAGAATCACCTCTCTGAGCTCTTTGCGCTGTCTAGGGTTTGGTATGGAACAGAGTGCCTTTGGCTACAATATCACAAGTCACATGACACCAGGTTAGAGTCCAACAGGTTTAATTGAAATCACAAGCTTTTGGAGCACTGCTCACTTCACCTGACGAAGGAGCAGTGCTCCAAAAGCTTGTAACTTCAAATAAACCTGTTGGACTATAACCTGGTGTCATTTGACTTCTGACCTTGTCCACCCCGGTCCAACACTGGCACCTCCATATCTTGGCTACAATACACAGTGCACAACAGAAATTTCCAACCCCTCCTTACTCATCTAGCTGTTTGTTTGCTAGTCAGGTTAATATTTTGACAAGCTTTAGGCCCCTTTCTCAACAGAGCAGCAAACAGGCAAAAGCTAACAATAAAGTCAATTCTAAACTATCTCTGCTAAATGCAGCTTGTTTATTTCAATCCTTATTACCTTTCAGTTCTTTGCACAATAACTTAGAGGTACAGTTTGTGAACAGCTTGCGTGGCACTATCACGATTGCCAAGTGCTTGCAAACATTGTCTGGACAGGACCAAGATCAATCAAAAACCAACCCTTCTCCTTTTTTCTTAAATGCTAATGAATCTTCTCTCTGTCTGGCACAGAAGTAAAACTTTCTTAAAAAAAAAAAAAAATCAATCGTTGGAGCCAAAAGCTCTCACCGTCATCTCTCCCTTTCTGGCTGGCCAGTGCTTCACTATAACCCCAAACATCACAGTGCCCAATGCTCACTTCTACACCACTTCTCTTCTGATCCACATCTAAGCTCCTCTCTTCTCTCCCCCTTGGTCATCCGTTCGCACTCCCACACTAACAACGTGGAAGTGTGGTGGAGGTAGATTCAATTGAGGCAATCAAGAGGGCATGAGATGATTATTCAAACAGAAACAATGTGGACGGTTATGAGAAAAATACAGGAGATCGGCACCAAATCAAAATGTTCCGAGAGCCAGTATAGATACAATGGGCTGGGTGATCTTCTCCTACATCCTAACAAAGCTCTGACTCAGTAAAAATATTTTACAGGGTCACAGATATTATTTCTGCAGGTTAGCAAATCTAAAACATGGAGGCACTGTCTCACGATAAGGGACTGATCAGTTCATACTGAGATGAGAAGGAATGACTTCACTCAAAGGACTATGAACATTTAGAATTCTCTACCCCAGAGGGTTGTGGAAACTCCATTGTTGAATAGATTGAAAGCTGGCATAGCCTGATGTTTGGTCTCTCAGGGAATCAACTGATACGGTCACCGTCATATCAAACGTAGAGCAGACTCTACCAGTCATATGATCTAGTCCACCTACTATTTGTGTTTCCCCATCTCCAGCAATCCCCTCCCCACTTCTCTCTCAGAGGTCCAAACCAAAACCCAGCTTCCTTCACACTCTTCCTCTCCAACCTCAACTTCTCTCACTCTCTTTCCCTCCCCCCACCTCTCCGATATCCCCAAACCACATTTCCACCTGTATCTTCGTCAATAATTTTGAATCAATGGTTTCTAGTTATAGACCCAAAACTTCTTAAAATCTTGAAAACCACTTAATGTCATCTTTAACTTGCTCTGTTCCGAGAACGGTCCAAAATAGTTTACTTTCTCCTCATAACTCAAGTTCTGTTTCCTTGATAAAATTCTGGGAATCCTTTTCTGTAACTTTTCTCAGGTCTTTACTAACTTCCTCCAGTGTAATGCTTGGAAGTGTCTATACTAGCCTAGCTCAGGCCCATTGAGTGATTTGTAGCATACTATCACGGTATGTATTCTCTTTTACATAATATTATTCACATATCATATTTAATTAATTTCTGGTATTGTTATACAGTTAGCCATCTAGTAAGCAGTGTGTTCCCAGTTAAATCCATGAATGGAGGGTTTGGAGAACGCTACACAAGATTCAACACACCACACGTTGTCAGTATTCCCACTATAAGATCTGCAATTTCATGTTGAGACTGGTCCCGATTGGCGTCCAGGATGTTTAGCCCTTCATAGAAATACTGATGTGCTACTATATAATCGTGCATCTTCAGCAAGGCATTGCCAGTCCAGTAGTAACCCTATGTTGGAAACAAGATCTACATGAGAGATCAGCAACACAAAAATGTAAGACAAATCCAGTCCACTGAGAAGGTGGAGTGAATGTAAATATTACAATGCAAGTGACTTCAATGCGACAGAGCTCCTAACTGCTTTTGTTTCATTGCACTTCTATGAAGACTCTGAAAAAGTTTTCATACATTCAACAGTATTATCAGGTTATCAGAAACACAGAACCATGCAACCCACATTAACAAGCTTAAAGCATAGCACAGGCACCCTGCACACTTGACAAGGCAATGCATGCGTAACTCACAATGATCGATGCAATGAGACAGTGAGGTATACACACTTACCTTGATATAGGTTCTGTCGACAGCAATAGCATATTGTGCGGAATCAAAAGCATGTTTCCACATTTCCAGGTTATAAAGGGCATTTGATCTGTTGCAGTACAACACAGCCAATTCCCTGTAAACAGAGATTCTTCGTTAAGTTTGTCCCATAGCTTTAGTGTTTAATTATGTTGAAATTACAGTATGCAAAGAGATATTTGCATGCAATTAGCCCGCATTGAAACAAAAACAAAACTGAAATTCCTGGAACAATTCTGCAGGTCTGGCAGCAAGTGTGGAGAGAAGTCACAGTTAACGTTTTGGGTCGAGGTTCTTCAGAAGAGCGCCCGTAGTTCTTTCGGCTTTTTGCTAGCCTGTATTGATATTCATTCTCTCCAAGAGAAAAATACCACAAAAGAGTGAACTGTGTATGCAGGAGATCGGAACCAAAAAGAAACAGAAATTGCTGGAGAAACTCAGCAGGTTTGGCAGCTTCTGTGGAGAGAAAACAATTAATGTTTCGAGTCCTTAAGAATCATTGACTTGAAATGTTAACTCTATTTTCTCTCCACAGATGCTTCCAGTCCTACTATCACATCTGTATCTTTGCCTGTTTGCTTTAAACAGTTTACTTATCAATTCTTAAATATATAAACAGTCTTTTTACTGCAATCCCAATTCCAGTGCAGCATTCCTCAGCCTCAAAAATCTATGTAAAAAATGTTTCTCTGGTACTGTCCTAAATCTTACATCTGTCACTTCATTGTAATCAATCTATTCTTATACAGAGCACTTTTCACTTCATAATTGCACATGTCTCTATCAAATTACCTCTTCATTTCTTCCATTGCCACGTGATTAGCCACAGTTATTCTACATCTTCCTCTGTATTTGCTCATACCAGGCAGCATCATTGTGAAATCAGAACAGGAAATGTAACAAACACTCAGCACGTCAGATAGTATTTGTGGAAGATCAGGATTATAGATTAAAATTGAGATGTGGTCGGTTCTAAACAACTGAAAGTGGAAGGTTGGGGAAAACACCAAAAGGGAAGATCTTTGATTGGGCGAAAAGCAGGAAACATCAAATGACAAAGGGAATGGTGGTGTAAGGACTAAGGGAAGGGTATAAGGGCATGGCAGGAAACAAAACATGTAGGGAAAGCAAGTCCTGAAATGGAAGAAAGAAGAAATAAGTAAAGTAAAACACAAATCACCAAAGAAAATTGAGCAGAATTTGTGGTCTGAAATTTTTCAACTCCAGTTTGGAAAGCTGTAAAGTTCCAAACAGAAAGACAGAATGTTGTTTGTGTTTACATTGAACATTATTGGTTCAATGCAATAGGCAGAAATCAGAAGTCAGAAGGTTCAGTTTGAGACCAAGGTGGAGACCTAAAATAATAGGCAACAGCAAGTATAGGGTTATCCTTGCAGATTGATAAAACTGCTTCCCAGAAGTCATCGAAATTATATTTCATCTCCCTAACTACAGCAGACTGCACTGTTAGCAGTGAATACAACAAACTAAATTGAACAAAGTTCAAGTAAATCATTGCTTCACTCAGGAATGGTGTTTGGGCCTTGAAAAATGAGGAGGGAGGAGTTAAAAGCACAAATGTTACATCTCTGAGATTGAATGGATAGATGCTGTGGGAAAGGAAGGCAGTGGACCAGAAATGACCAGTAACTGAGGAACAGATCAGAGTGTCGCCAAGGGAATGGAACTTTCATAAAGCTTTCAGAAAGAGGAGAATGAAGGAAGGTTTATAGAGTCATAGAATCATGCAGCACGGAAACAGACCCTTTGGTCCAACCAGTTCATGTCGAACATAATCCCAAACTAAACTAGTGCCACCTGCCTGCTCCTGGCCCATATCCCTCCAAACCTTATCTGTGGATATATCCATCCAAATGTCTTTTAAACATTGTAATTGTACCCACATCTACCACTTCATCAGGAAGTTCATTCCACACGCGAACCACCCTCTGTGAAAAAAAATTTGCCTCTCATGTCTTTTCTAAATCTCTCTCCTCTCGCCTTAAAAATGTGCCCCCTAATCTTGAAATTCCTCACCTTAGGGAAAAGACAAATATCATCAACTCTATCTATATCTCATTATTTTATAAACTTCTAATCAGGTCACCTCTCAACCTCCTATGTTCCAGTGAATAAAGTCACAGTCTGTCCAGCCTTTCCTTAAAAATCAAACCTACCATAGGTGAATCTCTTCTGAACACTCTCCAGCTTGATAATATCTTTCCAATAATTGGGCGACCGAAACTCGACACAGCATTCCAGAAGAGGCCTCACCAATGTCCTGTACAACCTCAACATAACATCCCAACTCCTGTACTATACTATATTATACTAAGTATATTATACTGGAGGTGGCAGAAATGACGAGAGATGATACATTGAATACAGCCTGGTGGGATGGAAGACAAGGCAAAAGGTGCCACCTTAGCTTTTGTGAGGGGCATTAGGTAAACAGACGACAGCAGATATCCAGAAAATGGAACAGTCCAGTCAAGGTTTTGATGTCTGAGTATCAGTGGAGTGTGAGAGTGAGAAGGCTCTCTGCTGGTTTCATTTAAGTCATTATTTAAGTGATTTATGCTGTAAATAAAATAATGATGAGTATAGCCCTTTCATTATGCTTCTATTACTTACTATGTGTTTTTACATTAATTATGTGGGCCGTCTGATCAACTAGAATATTTGATCAACTGGTACATTCTTGTCCCATTAGTTTTCCTAGGACTTTTTCTCTAGTGATAGTTTTCCTATTTATTTCCTCTCCTCCCTTTGCCCCTTGATTACCTGGTAATTTTGGATTACAGTTAGTGTATTTATGCCTAACACCATTAGATGCTGGTTAATAAAAGGTTTGCTGTACTGTATAAAAAGAGAGATAAGGGAATGTGAGACAAAGCAAGCACATTTGGATGAATATACACCATGGGAATAAGTAATTAAAATGAAACATTGGTCTTTTGTCAATTGTCAGTCTTAATTAAAGATGCTGGAACAGCATCTGTCAAGTGCTGCAGCAATAACTGTTGTGTCTCTTTTTGGAGTGGTTTTTCTCAGATTCTATACAAATTTTCACATGACTGAGATATGCTTCATCTTAATAGGGGTTAATAAACACCGTTATATCAAATTTCACCCAAATGTTCATGTTCACATTCTTGAAAAGCTATGCGACATGTTGAAGTCTACAAGCCTCCTATCACATCCAGAAATATCTGTGTGCCTACAGTAGTGCACCACAAAGATCAAATTCTGAGAGAATGGAGGAGGAAAAGATAAACAGGATACATTCAAAAGCAGCGAGTTCAGAAAATAGTGCAGGCAAGAATAATGGAACCAGGAAGTGGCAGAGGAGTTGAATAAATACATTCCAGCAGTTCTCACAATACAAAACAGTAATGACATTCCGAAATTACCAAGCAATCAAGGGGCAATAGGAGGAAAGGAAATAAATATAATAATTATCACTAGAGAAAAAGTACTAGGAAAACAAATGGGGCTATAGACTGTTAAGACTCCTGTACTTGATGGGATGCACCTTAGGATATTGAATGAAGTAACAACAGATATAATGGATACATTGGTCATAATCTTCCAGGAATTCTTAGAATCTGCAAGAGTCCCAGGGGATTGGAAAACTGCCAATGTAACACCTTTACCTAAAAAGGTGAGGAGAAAAAATATGCAGGTAACTACAGGCCTGTTATTGGGAAAAAGTTAGAGTCTATTATAAAGGATGTAACAGTATTGCATTTAGAAATACAGAATTATGATCAAGAAAAGTCAGCATGGCTTCATACAGGGGAATTATGCCTGACAAATCTACTAGAATTCTTTGAGGGGATAACAAACAGGATTGATGAAAAGGAAGCAGTGGATGTAATATATTTGGATTTTTAGGAGGCTTCTGATAAGATACCACAAGTTAGGCAAATTTAATAAGATAAGGGCCCATGGTTTTGCAGGCAGCAAATCTACATGGGTATAGAATTGGCAACAAATAGAAGATGATGAGTTGTAATAAGGGGATCGTTTTCAGAATGGCAATCTGTAACTAGTGGAGTGCCACAGGGATCAGTGCTGGGGCCACAGTTACTTATAATATACATTAATGACTCAGATGAGGGAAATGAATGTACTATAGCCAGATTTGTGATTGACACAAATTTAGGTGGGAAGGCAAGTGACCAGGATGATGCAAAAAAATCTGCAGAGGGATGTAGACAAATTACGCGAGTGGGAAAAAAAAACTGACAGATGGAATATAATGTGGGAAAATGTGATGTTATACACTTTATCTGGAAGAAGTGCTGAATATTATTTAAAACGGAGAAACACTGCAGAAACCTACAGCACAGAAGGATTTGGGAGTCCTTTAACATGAATCACAACAGCACCTAAGTTCAGTGGGTAATAGAGAAGGCAAATGGGTTGTTGACCTTTATTTCAAAGGGAACGGAATATAAAAGTAAGGAGATTTTGATAAATCCATAAAAGACTCTAGCTGAGGCCTCAGCTAGAATACTGAGAACAGAACTGGGGCCCTCATCTCAGCAAAGATTTACAGGTACTGTAGGCAGTTCAGAGAAGGTTCATTAGGCTAATACCAAGTACAGAGGGACTGTCTTATGGGGAAACATCAGGTAGGATGGTCATATAGTCATTGGAATTTAGAAGAAGAGAGGCGATCTTATTGAAGCATACAAGATTTGTATGGGGCTTGACAGGGCAGATGCAGACAGGTTGATTCCCCTCAAGGGAAAATCTGGGACTAGAGGGTATAATCTCAGAACAAGGGAATTCCCATTTAAGACAGATATGAAGACTAATTCCTTCTGTCAGAAGGCAGTGAATTCTTTGCTTCAGAGGACTATAGAGGCTGGGTCATTAAGGGTATTCCAGGCTGAGACAGGATCAAGCCTTATGGGAAAAAAAACAGAAAAACTGAGTTGAGGATTATCAGATTAGCCACGAGATCATTCAATGGCAGAGCAGACTCGATGGGCTGAATGACCTACCTCTGCTCCTATGTCTTATGGTCTTAAATGCATGTTCCAATTCCTATCTCACATCTAAAGACAGATTTAATCCAACATAGAAATCATAGACAAAAATAGAAATTGTTGGAAAAGCTCAGCAGGTCTAGCAGTATCTGTGGACAGAAACCAGAGTTAACGTTTCTGGTTGAGTGACCCTTCCTCAGAACAGAAATCACAGTACTGGAACCTATTTTATATGGACTCTCCTCCAAACTTTTGTGGAACTTTAGAGGAAATACACTTGGGAATGGCTAAACTGTGGACATCCCTTGGAACATTTACAAACTCAAAATAAAAATTTTACCTTTTAGTTGGCTGCAAATCACGCAGAATGCTCAAAGCTTCATCATACTTCTGGATTGCAATACGATAACGCCGCTGTTTAAATGCTTCATTTCCAATAGTTTTCAGTTGATGCGCAATCATGTTATACTGCTCCATGCTCTAACAGAAAATAAATATACTTAAACTTTGCAACTGTCGCACATCGATCTCCTTGACTATTACAACAAAGGTCTTGGATACTTTACAAGGGTTTAATAATACCCAAGACATGCAGTGGTTCTACTGGGTTCCTGAACATGTATTACACAGCTGAAAGTACAACTGACAGAATTCTCAAAAATTAGTTGCCTAGCAGAGCTGTGGATACAGTTGAAGGTCCAGAATAAATGCCAGCTGCTGTATTTCCTTATGTTGTATGTTCCTTAAGCCTTTCAGCCTCTGTGAAAAGAGATGATTTGTTTAGTGGAAATCAGTTACTTTCTGTGAAAAACACAGGTAATGAAAACCACAAATGGTGAGAAGATAACAAATTTCAACTTGCAAAGCACCTTGCCTCCTCAGGAAATGCACTTCACAATGAGTTTCTTTTGAAGGCTAGCCATTATGTTAGGTGGGCAAATGTAGCAGTCAACTTACACGCAGCAAGGTCCCACAAATATATCAAGATTAGTGACGGATAATTTTTTGTTGTTGTTGTTTGGTGGGAACATGTTTCACCCAGACCAGCTGTAAGATCTTCTTTGAATGGTCGCAGAGAGATCAGATCTTGCTGAGACAACAGAACTACATTAACAACCTTTCTCAGGTTTCAAGATTGACATTTGAATTCTCAACCTTTGTACTTAAAGGCAAGAACACTATCTTTGAGTCAAGGCTGCCACAAATCAACAAAGGAGTTTGGATATCACATTGAGAGTTATTTTACTTACTCACAAAAAGTATAAAGTATTGATGTATTATTTTAAATTTTGAAGAGGTAATCTAAAGGTTTGGATTTTAGGATTGTTATGTTCTGAAGAGTCGGCACTGGACTCGAAACATTAATTCTGCCTTCTTCTCACAGATGTTGCCAGACCTGCTGAGTTTTGCCTGTAATTTCTGTATTTGTTTCAGATCTCTAGTATCTACAGTTCTTTGTTTTATTTTGGTGAAGAAGGATGCTTAGGATGAGATGTTTGCCTTCATTTGTTGAGGTGTAGAATATAGGAACAAAGAAGTTTTGGAAATTTTGTTACAACTTTATAAAACATTGGTTAAGCCGCAGATGGAATACTGTGTGAAGTTCTGTTTGCCACACTATTCGCAATTGAAGTGGGTGCTGAGGAGATTCACCAGGATGGGAGAATAAGTCTCAGCTTTGAGGAGAGGCTGGATAGATTGGGTTTGATCTCCCTTGGAGCAGGTGGAGGTTGGGGTGGGGCTGGGGGTTGGCTGACTGTGGTATGCAAAATTATGAGATGTATAGAGAGAGTAAATTATGAGAATCTTTTCCACATGGCAGACGCGTCCAAGACCAGAAGGCATAGGTTCAAGATGAGGAGTAAGTGGTTTAGAGTAGATCCGAGAAAATTTTTATACCCGTAGGATGGTAAAAATATAAACATGCTTGAGAGGATGGTGGAGGCTGGTCCTCTTACAACATTTAAGCAGTATCTGAACGAGTGCTTCAAATGTCAGGGCATAGTAGATTATGGTCCAAGTGCATATAAATGGGATTAGTGTAGTTTGGTGATTGTTGGTCACATAGACACAGTGGGCTGCAGGGCCTGTTTCTATCCTGTATGACTCTAAAACGTCCATTATGATAAAATTCCAAGCCTTAGAATTCCTGCACTTCTTTTTGGAGAAGGACGCTGGAGCTGGTTTGGGTGGGAACAGGAGACACATACGATCAACTGAATGCATTAAGGACAAGGTTTTACATGACTGGAACATTTATGGGCACTCGGATAAATTTCAAAAAGACTGCAGATGCTTAAAATCTGAAGCAAAAACAGAAATTGCTGAAAAATCTCAGCATGTCTGGCATCATTTGTGAAGAGAAATCAGAGTTAATGTTTCAGGTCCAGTGACCCTTCTTCACAACCGATGGCAGCTAGGGAAAGGATGGTTTTTATACAGAAGATGGTTGGGGAGGGGGGGGGGGGGGGGGGTGGTGGTGGTAGCAGGGAGATTAGATGATAAATGGAGATAGATCCCAAAGAGAGATAAACACAGATGGACAGACAAAAAGGAGTGGTTAAAAGGTCAGTCTGGACAAAATGAATAGCTGCTAATGGGGACAATTAATGGCTTACAATGGGTAGTGTGTGGTAGCAGCCCATGTAATGAAAAGGCCAGGTGTGTGGGAGATGAGGGAAAGCGTGGAGAAAGGTGCTCAAGCCCTAAAATTGGTGAACTCAATAATCAAGTCTGGAAGGCTGTAGGGTTCCCAAATGGAAAATGAGGAGCTGTTTGTCCGGCTTCTTTTACATTTCCTGCACCGTGTTCTGACTTGTACAAATTGACTTGCAAACGGACTCGGGAGCAGAACATTTTTGCAACCCGGAGATTGCTTGCACGATAATCTTATAAACCCTATAACTATGCCAAGACACCACAGAGTATAGTCTAAACAACACCAGCTGCAAAACTTTCCATATAATGTGATAAGTCAAGGACAAAGATAATCAAGAACAGAGTCGCCACTGGCTTTAGTAAGTGCCCTTTGAACAGCGCTCAGTCTGTTGCTGTTTTACAACTCCCTCTTTCATTACTATGATCCTGGGAGGAACAAATGTTAGAATACTCATGTCCCCCAACCATGATGACTTACAATATATTTATATCTACTCAATGTAGCCCACAAAAAGAAATTTTGTTACTACAGGATATTATGTTCATCTACTATTTAAGATCTATAGAGAGCAAATATCAGAAAAAGACTAACACCATCAACTTACACAATTTCCTTCCAAATACAAGCAAAGTGTGGGCAGACAAAGTGGCAAGATGTTTTTCAACAGTTTAAGCGAGCGTCTATATGCTATACTAAAAATCATGCATCGGTATGCATTTCTGGTCAACGTTTTTCATGTTATAATGTGAACGGTCATGATGTAATATGCTTCACATTTCACCAAAATTCCAGTGGCAGTACAAGTATTCCCTATTTAAATCACATTCTAATGGTATATTTTGCTTTTACACAGTTTGTAAACAACAGAACTTAACAAAGTGCTACCATCGTTTTTATTTTAATGTGGTTGTGACACGAGCCAGGACTGCACTATAACTGTGCAAGTTCAGTCTGTTTATTTAAACACATTCCTGCTCTGCGTGTCGGTTCTCCTGAAGCCCTTGAACTCTTTGTCCTCTCCCACTTGCTTTCACTGAATGCCCCTCATCCCCTTGCTCATTACTCCTCTGACTCCATTGCCCCTCTCCTCAAATGCCTTGTTCCTCCCTCCTTGATCCCTCGTTTCTTCCCACTCATCAGTCTCTCTCCTAAGCCCCTTGTTCCCACTCACTTCCTTATCATCACACTTCTCCAACCCCTCATCACGTCCCTCTTCCAACCCTCCCACTCATCACTTCCTTCTCCTGGCCTCCTCACTACATCCTACTCACTCTTTACCAATTGCCATCGACCTTCCTGGTTGCTTCACTCTGGTTTATGAAGATGGGTGACAAAACGAACACAGCCAAGGATCGGGCCTAGACCCGAAACGTCAGCTTTCCTGCTCCTCTGATGCTGCTTGGCCTGCTGTGTTCATCCAGCTCTACACCTTGTTATCTCAGAGGTTCAAACGAGTACAGTTTTTATTGCAAAAAATTACAGGTTAGGAATGCAACCCACTTTAATTGCAGAGTTTCTTATAGGAAAGTGATCTTTTGTCAAGCATGCTACTTTTTAAGAACAGATTAGGAGGGCAAACAAGGGAAAACTGTATATGCAAGTTGTCTAGCAAATGCTGTGACAAAGACCACAAATGGGGCCTGATAGACCAAAATATTTGTCACAGACACAGTGGGTATAGTTCATTCCTAATAAGTAGTCTCAAAGAAGATAAAAGTGGTTCTTTAGAAAACTAAGAATTAACCCCTCTATCTTGAAGCAAACCAAAAGTATCCATGAAGAATATAAACATTTGAATAGTTAGTTACAAAACAATTGCTTGCTATGTGATGCAACGCAACGTGACGTAACATGGGGGTTGGTGGGGGGGGATGAGGGAGCAGAAATTGATTAGCTCCGTTAGTTGGACAGCTGGTGTGACAGAGTCACGCCAATAGTGTGGGTTCAATTCCGGCACTGACTGAGATTACCATGAAGGTCTTGCCTTCTCAACTTCACCTCTTGCCCAAGGCGTGGTAACCCCCAGGTTAAATTCACTACCAGTTGTCTCTCTCTCTAACGAGACAGCAGCTGTATGATTCTTTGGGACTATGATATCTTTACCAATTATTTGGGAAACTATTAAAATTTACTTGTCCAGTTCAATCTCTTACTATCCCAGTGATATTCTCCATTACTTACATGCCATTTTGTAGAGATCCTGTCCACTGAAGATGGTACTTTTGTCAGGCTGAAGCTAATAATAAGTTCTTTCTATTTAGGTAATCAGAAAAGGCGCACGGTGGCTCAGTGATTAGCACTGCTGCCTCACAGCGCCAGGGACCCAGGTTCGATTCCACCCTCGAGCGACTGTGTGGAGCTTGCACATTCTCCCCGTGTCTGCGTGGGTTTCCTCCCACAGTCTAAGGATGTGCAGGCTAGGTGGATTGGTCATGCTAAATTGCCTATAGCGTTCAGGGATGTGTAGATTGGGTGGGTTATAACGGGATGGGTCTAGGTGGGATGCTCCGCGGGTCAGTGTGGACTTGTTGGGCTGAAGGGCCTGATTCTATGAAAAGTTTAAATGACAAGGATTAAATGAGAGAGATAACAAGGTGTGGAGCTGGAGGAACACAGCAGGCCAGGCAGCATCAGAAGAGCAGGTAAGTTGACATTTCGGGTCTGGACCTTCCTTCCGATTAAATGAAGTTTTTTAGAATAATGACAAGTCCAGAGAGAATATGGGGTGAAGGGTGCCAAATTAGTCACAGATGATCTGATCTTTGTGGCCATTTAGAAATGAGCTTATTTACAGAACTTTAAACTCTTTGTTGAATTTTTACCTTATTAATTTACTAAAAAGTTATTACAAAAACTGTTCTGTAGCACCTTCTTTGAGATTACAGAATGATAAAGAAAGCACGTAACTTAAAGACCTCTATAACAAAGCTACTTTACAACATCAATTATCTAACCTCACCCCACTGCATCCTTTATCTCTTCTTGAGCCAGTGTTCCTTCAAATACACCATTCTGCCTGTTCGTGGAATTTGTATCGTGGAGGACCTTCTCCACGATAATCCTCAATACTGGCGCCCCACAAGGATGTGTACTCAGCCCGCTACTGTACTGCCCGTACACTCATGATCGTGTGGCCAAATTTCGTCTGAAAGGCATCGACAAGTTCGCTGACGACACCACCGTTGTAGGCCAGATATCAAACAATGACGAGACACAACACAGGAAGGAGATAGAATGCTTGGTGTTGTGGTGTAAAGATAACAATCTCTCCCTCAATGTCAGCAAAACTAAAAAGCTGATCATCAACTTCAAGAAGAAAGGAGGAGGAGGATACGCCCCTATCTACATAATGGAGCTGAGGTACAGAGGGTCGAAAGCGTCAAATTTTAAAAAGTGATGATAACCACGTAGATGCGATGGTCAAGAAGGCACAACCATGCCTCGCCTTCTGAGGAAGGCTCAGGAAATTTGGCACATCCATAAGGACCCTTACCAATTTTTACAGATGCACCATAGAAAGCACTCTATCTGGATGCATCACGGGTTGGTACGGCAACTGCTCTGCCCAGGACTAGAAGAAACTACAGAAAGTTGTGAACACAGCACAGACCATCATGCAAGCCAACTTCCCATCAATTGACTCCATCTACACTTCTTGTTGCCATGGAAAAGCAGTTAACAAGGACCCCTCCCACCCCGATTATAATCTCTTCCACCGGGCAGAAGATACAAAAGCTTAAACACACATACCAACAGGTTCAAGAAGAGCTTCTTCCGTGCTGTTATTAGATTGCTGAAGAACATATCAAATTTCAAATCCAATATTGATCTTGCTTTTTGTCATGATGTGGAGGTGCCAGAGTTGGAATGGGGTGGACAAGGTCAGAAGTCACACGACATCAGGTTATAGTCCACCAGGTTTATTTGAAATCACAAGCTTTTGAAGCGCTGCCCCTTCATAAGGTTAAGTGTAGAGAGGCACACAGGCACGGAATTTATAGCAGAGAGATCAAAAGATCAGATGAATGGTGTGAATGGAATGTCATCAGATTGAATAATAGGTCTCTGTCGTCGATCAAAAGTGTCAGATGATGTGATTAAAGCCTCAACAGCTGAACAAGTGAAGGGATCACCTATAATCCAATTAACTGAGGCAGAAAGATAATTACAAAAAATTAAAAATAAGGTGGTACTGGAGACAAACCAAATGACTGGAACAACATGGTAGGTATAAGAGTCGCATGACGTGGGTCTAACCAAAGTAACAAGTAATTCAAAACTGTACAATCTAATTAAAGTGGAGAGACCATAAGATATCAAGGTGATGGTGTCAAAACAGAACAGCATGGAAGATTTTACAGATAGAGAACAGTATGGTGGGGTTACACGTAGTGTGACGTGAACCCAAGATCACAGTTGAGACCTTTTTCATGGGTACAGAACTTAGTTATCAGTCTCTGCTCGGCAATTCTGTGTTGTTGTGTATCTTGAAGACCTCCTTGGACAATGCTTACCCGAAAATTGAAGGCTGAATGCCCTCGACCACTGAAGTGTTCTCTGAATGGGAGGGAACATTCCTGTCTGGCGGTTGTTGCACAGTATTCATTCATCTGTTGTCGTAGCGTCTGCATATTTCGCTACTATACTATGCCTCAGGGCATCCTTGCCTGCAGCACATGAGGTAAGCAACATCCGCCAAGTCACATGAATATCTGCCGTGCACATGGTGGAGGGGAGTGTTCCCACGTGTGATGGTGGTATCCATGTCGGTGATCTGATGTGTCTTGTAGAGGTTGCCATGACAGGGTTCTGTGGTGTTGTGGTCGATATTGTCCTGAAGGCTGGGTAGTTTGCTGCAAATGAAGGTCTGTTTAAGGTTTGGTGGTTGTTTGAAGTTGAGAAGTGGAGACGTAGGGAAGATCTTGGCGAGATGTTAGTCGACGACATGGTGAATACTGCAGAGAACATGGTGTGGTTTCTCCGCTCTAGGGAAAGTACTGGATGACGAAGGGTGCTCGATCAGTCATGTCCTGTGTCAGTCTTCTGAGGTCATTGCGGTTTTTTGCTATGGCACGTCAGAACTGATGATCAATGAGTTGAGCATTGTATCCTGTTCTTATTAGGTCATCTCTCAGCATCTTTAGTTGTCCGTCACGTTCCTCTTTGTCTGAGCAGATCCTGTGTATACATAGGGCTTTTCTTTAGGGGATAACTTCTTTAATATGTTTATGGTGGAAGCCAGAGAAGTGCAGGATCGTCAGGTTATTTGTAGGCTTACGGTTGAGTGAGGTACTGAGGTGTCCATGCTGGAGACGCACCTGTCCCAGCATGAGACTGATTTTTAAGAGTAGTCCATGGCAAGTCTGATGGAGGGATGAAACTTGTTGGTATTATTGTGTAGTCATTTCAGTGATTCCTTGCCACGAGTCCAAAGGAAGAAAGTGTTGTTGCTGTATCTGGTGTATAGCATTGGTTGGAGGTCCTGTGCAGCAAAGAAGTCTTGCTTGAACTTGTGCATGAAAATGTTGGCATATTGCGGTGCAAACTTTGTCCTCAGGGCTGTTCCGTGTGTCTGGATGAAAGGCTGGTTGTTGAAGGTGAAGACGTTGTGTTTGAGGATGAAGCTGATGAGTTGTGGGATGGCATATGGAAATTGGCAGTTGTTGACGTTGAGTACGAAGGCTGTTACAGCAATGCCGTCGTCGTGGGGGATGCTGGTCTCGAGTGCCAAAACATCCATTGTTACGAGAAATGTTCTTGTTTCAACTGGTCCATGGGTGCTGAGTTACTGCAAGAAGTCTGTAGTGTCACGACAGAAGCTGGGGTCTCCTTGTACAACAGGTTTCAAGATGCCCTTGACATAGCCAGAGAGAGGTTCTCACACAGGGTCCCACTGCCTGATAAGATGGGACGTCCAGGTGTGTTGGCTGTGTGTATCTTTGGAAGGCAGAAGAACACTCCTATGTGAGAAGTATGTCGGATGAGATTGCGTGGGATACTCTGAAGGTCTGGATCAAAAGGTCTTAATCAGTCTGTTGAGTTGAAGGGTGTGTTGTTTGGATGGATCAGCAGGTAGTTGTCTGTAGCATTCCTGGTTGTTCAGTTGTCGGTACACTTCTTCACAATAGTCCGTTCTATTCGGTATGACAATGGCTCCTCCTTTGTCTGCTGGTTTGATGATGATGTTGCGAATGGTCTCGAGAGCATGGATGCCGTTGCACTGTACATGGGTGACATTCTGCACTATCTTGTGAGAGCGGCTGATGAATCTGGCGTTAATGAATCTCCTGACGGCTTGAACATTCATATCAAGCCTAGGGCAGCAGCCTTCCAGAGGGGTCCAATTTGACTCTCTTCTTTGGTCACTGCACTGCAGATCTCTCTGTTGACTGTTCCAGTCAGTTGGTTGTCACATTGGGCTTGCTGCTGACATCTTGGGGTTCTGAGACTGCGTTTTGTACACCTTCCTCGCAGCTGTAACTTTGTATTTCTCGCTCTGTTCAATCATGCTATGATCTGTATGTCCTTCTATGTTATTTTCACTATACTTCGGGTACATGTGACAATAAATCAAATCACATCTTTCTCCTTCGAGCCTATTCTCTGGGTTCAAATTAAACCGCCTTACAGTTTCTACTTTTATCTCTCAGGGTGTCAAAAAATATAGAATTCACAACTTCATTTAGTATTCCTTCTCTTTTGGAGGCAGCACGGTGGCTCAGTGGTTAGCACTGCTGCCTCACAGTGCCAGGGACCCAGGTTTGATTCCAGCCTTAGGCAACTGTCTGTGTGGAGCTTGCACATTCTCCCCATGTCTGTGTGGGTTTCCTCCGGTTTCCTCCCACAGTCCAAAGATGTGCAGGTTATATGGATTGGCCATGCTAAATTGCCCATAGTGCCCAGGGATGTTTAGGTTAGGTGGGTTAGACATGGGAAATCAGGGGTAGGATAACAGGTCTGGGTGGGATGCTCTTCGGAGGGGCAGTGTGGACTTGTTGGGCCAAACGGCCTGTTTCCACACTGTAGGGATTCTATGATTTTAATTCTCAGGCAACTGTTTTAACAAAAGGCTTAGCATCTCAGTCACAACGTCCTGATTCTCACTGCATTACTAAATTTGCATACAAAAGGCCTCAAAAAAACCTGCATTAGCAAAGGTCAATCTGTATGTTTTCTCTCTCCTATTTACATTGTTTGGAGACAAGGCATCAAGTCAAATATAACAACCTGCAAATGTTCTTGAGAAACATTGCAGAAATATTTACACAATGAAAAAAAACTGAAAATTAGTTACCTTAAGATCATATGCCATCAGCGTTCCAAAGGGTTTTGATCCTTTTTGCCTCTTTTCTTATGTGTTGATTTGTCCGGTTTGAATTTTCTGAACCTGGAGATTTGGAAGTGTTGTTTTTAGCACTGCTGGTTCACTATTTGATTACGGATTTGTCCAACAAGGTTGATATCTTAGATAACAAGGTGTAGAGCTGGATGAACACAGCAGGCCAAGCAGCAGAGGTCTCGGCCCGAAACGTCAGCCTTCCTGCTCCTATGATGCTGCTTGGCCTGCTGTGTTCATCCAGCTCTACACCTTGTT